CTATGGAGGCCTATCCAGTAATTCCATCCACTTCTAATGCTTATCCCTGGTAGATACAATTGATAATGTTTGCTGACATTAAGACCGGCTCAGAAGCAGAGCAAGTGACTGCCCACCATGGCCTATTTCACATCACGTTGAATGTAAGCAACTTGGCAAGGAAAGAACTAGTGGAAATTAAACCTCAAACTGTTCCCATTACCCTCCAAATTAACATCTTATTTTTGTTGGCGGATGTACATTCTGAAATAGATGTCATCTGTATGTACATGCTATCTTATGTTCTGCTTTCAAAGTCTGTATCATAGACAAATAGCCACATATTGACACATTCTTTTGTTTTGTTTGTTTTGTGGTACGCGGGCCTCTCACTGCTGCGGCCTCTCCCGTTGCGGAGCACAGGCTCCGGACGCGCAGGCTCAGCGGCCATGGCCCACGGGCCCAGCCACTCCGCGGCACGCGGGATCCTCCTGGACCGGGGCACGAACCCGTGTCCCCTGCATTGGCAGGGGAGCGGACTCTCAACCACTGCGCCACCAGGGAAGCCCAGCATTCTTTTGTTTTTAATATCTGTATAGTATTCCACTGCATTGATAAATCATAGCTGCAAAGCTATTCTCTTACTATTTTGAGCATTTGGTTGTTCCAATTTTTTTTAATTTAGGAAGGAATAATGTTTCAACAAATATCTGAACAAATTACCTTATTTTTCCATAGGATTCGTTTCCTGCTGTACAGTCCCTAATGTAAAATTCCTACATTTATTACATTTACTTAACTTGCAAACCTCTGTAAGTTAGATCATAGTACCTATCTGTTGAGTCTGGGGTAGAATTTAAAAGCTAATATTTAAGCACTTAGTACAGTGCCTTCTGTAGAGTATATATTTATTATTAATTTATTACTACTAATAAAATATCTATATACTTACTTGGAAAGCATGATCACCTAAATATACCTAAACCTTTCAATTAAAATCTATTTATATCATATATATACCTTTATCCATTACAACTTTCTTTGAACAAATATTTCATTTTTAAGTTGAATTAAAATCCAAATAATCTATTTTATCATTAGTGGGATTTTTCAGTGCTTTTTTTGTGGTTTTATTATTGATATATCAGTAACCAATTTACTGATTTTTGTGTGACATTATAGCCTACAACTTTACTCAACTAACTTTATTTTTAGCAATGACTTCATTTCTATTAAGACTTTAGTTATAAGAGATATTGTGTAAAAAAGTTATGTTTTTATCTCTTTAAGATAACCATCACCAGCATTTCTAGTGAAATATTATATAAGGAATAATAACAGAGAACATCCATTTCTTGTTCTTTTGTGGGAAAAGGTTTAAGTCTTCAGTAAACAAGATGTTGAATCTTGTTTTTAAATACACAGCTTATTATATTAAGACAAAACTCTCCTAATGTTTTCAGAGTTTTAATCTATAAGGCAAATGATACATTTATCTGGATGCTTTATCCAGGTCTAATTACATTATTTTTATATTTTGTTCATGGTGAATGAGGTTACTGGATTTCCTTGAGTTTAACAGTTAATTCTTTTAATGTGTTATTTTCTTTGCAGATATTTTACTTGGGGCATTTATATCTATATCTATGATCAAAATTGATCTAAAATATTCCTTTCATTGTCTTGAGTTTAAAATATTTGCCTCTAAAAGTGAATTGAATAATAATTGTAATAGTAATAGCCTGGTTAACTGCTTACTATGTGCAATGCACTGTCCTATACAAGTTATGGGAATTTTCTCATTTAATCCTCACAACAGCCCCTTTAAGCAAATATTATTACTCTATCCATTTTACAGATTATTAATATGCTATAATTTTCTATATTTTAAATTTTTTTATTACTGAATGAATTATTGGTTCTTAGAAGATTTTGAAGACATTGGAATCAGATGCCCCTTTAGAAACTATTTAATAACTTTATGTTTCTTTCTCTATTATCATTATATTTATGTTCTCTAATTCATTTTTGCATCTTTGGGGATATTTCATACATTTGTAAGTAGCCATCTATTTTTCATTTGATAAGATGTAATAGCCCACAACTGAAAAGAATATTCAACTTAAATATAAATCTTTTGTATTAAGTATGTTTTCCAAATCCTGACTTCATTTTAATTCTCATTATTAAAATTGATATTGTTTATCAATTGTTTTTCAAATAATCAATTATCAGATTTCTGCTTTAATTATTTTTCTTCTATGTGGTTTGCTTCCATTTTTTGTTTTATCATCTATATTTTGCTAGCACCTTTAATTTGTTGTTTCCCCCTCTAAATTATTTAAACAGAGTTAATTATGGCTCAATGATTGGAGAAAATTAAACATGAGAACCTCGAAGTCAAAGACAAGCATTTTTCTCCACCTCTTGGGCTTTCATAAAATAGGTCCAGTGTTCAGGCTGACACAAACCCCAGAGCTGCAGTGGTCACCAGAGAGAGATGCAACTGCCGATGACGCAAGAAAACAAAGTCAACCCAGGTGCTGGCTGCCCAAGGATCAGGAACAGAAATGAAACCTGAACAAACAGGTGTCCAAGTCCAGGCATGTATGGGTTAGTGCAGTGTTGCCCACAGTGTGAAGCCCGTACCTACAGGGGTCTGAAAGTTGGCATTAGGTGGTTTACAGAGATGGAAACAAATAGCACCAAACAGCCTGGTGAGAAAGTGATTCCCTTTTGAGTTCTTTCTACTTCTCCTCCAACCCTTCTGATCACCTCTCAGAAAAACACTCAGGTTGGTGCTATTTCCCTAACTCCACTCTACAACTTTGCATTCTCCTTTTTTAACCAAGTAAACGTGGGTTTCAGACTCAGAACTCTCTGCAGGTAATGGTACTGGCTAAAATTCGATAAGTGATACTGCTTTCTTATGTTATAATGGTGTACAAACTTTCTTTTCTAATAAATGAATTTCAATTAACAAAATTAGTGAATTAAATAACTATTAAGGAAACAAAAATACAGGTGATAAGTAAATATGATTGACATTTGGAAGACACTAGGTTGATATCAGGTGAAGGAGGACTATCTTTAAGGTCTCACCCAATCTCAAAGGCATGAGGTCACAAAGGGGGACGTTAAGAACAGCTACCCATTCGTTCAACAACACTGATGTCTCCTATAGTCCAGACACGGTCCTAGAAACTGGGAATATGGTAATACATAAAAATAAAGTTCCTGCTCTCATTCTCATGAGCTTCTATTCTAGAGAAACACAGTGATGATAGATAGATAGATAGATAGATAATAGATGATTAGATAGATAATACAGATGATAAGAGAGAGAGATGGTGCTGAGAATAAAAACAAAGCAAAAATAAGAAAGAAGACAGATTCAGGGGTACTATTTTAGATAGCTGGTGGGGGAACCCTGAACAGAGGTGACATTTTAGCAGAAATCAAACTAAAGTAAATCACAATGGAACAGAATTCTCGGCAGTGGGATAACAAGTACAAAGACCCTAATGTAGGAACGTGCTTGATGTGTCCAGGTAGAGTGAGGAGGCCATCGTGGCTGGCCTGCCAAAAGTGAGGGACAATAAAGGAGGTGAGATCAGGGAGAGGGCAGAGGCCCAGGTCATGCGTAGCCCTGTGGGATTTGACAAGAACTCTAGGTTTCGTTCTGAGTGAGATGGGAAGCCACTGGAGGATTCTGAGCAGAGAAGTAACATGATCTGACTTACATTTCTTAACATTCAACCCTGGATGCTGTGTAGAAACAGACTGCTGAGGCTTTAGGGAGCCCGGTTAAGAGACGATTGTAGGGCTTCCCTGGTGGCACAGTGGTTAAGAACCCGCCTGCCAATGCAGGGGACACGGGTTCGAGCCCTGGTCAGGGAAGATCCCACATGCCGCGGAGCAACTAAGCCCGTGTGCCACAACTACTGAGCCTGCGCTCTAGAGCCCACAAGGCCATAACTACTGAGCCCGCGAGCCACAACTACTGAAGCCAGTGCATCTAGAGCCCATGCTCCACAACAAGAGAAGACACCGCAATGAGAAGCCCTCGCACCACAACGGAGAGTAGCCCCCGCTCGCTGCAACTAGAGGAAGCCCGTGCGCAGCAACGAAGACCCAATGCAGCCAAAGATAAAAATAAATAAAATATAAATAAAGTTTTAAAAAATAAAGAAATAAGTAATGAAATCACTTTACATATTTAAAAAAAGAAGAAGGGGAAAGTGACCAGCAGTGCTGGCTCCAGCTTGTTGGGTTTCTGTTGGGTTTCGGGAGATGGAGCCTGAGTAGACGAGCAATGGTGGCCTTAAGGAGGGAAGTTCCAGGAACTGGTGGGGAGGCCTGAAAAGGGGGCTACGTGAGAGAACAGGAAGGGGGAACTGGAGAATGAGTACTGACCACATTTTGAGGACTTTTGCGGAAAAGGGGAGTAGACGAATGAGCTGATGGCCGGAGGGGAATGTGAGGTCAAGGGTGGGTTTTTCAAACTGGGGGATGTCTGCATGCTGACAGGAATGGTCCAGATGCTATGGGGGTGGTGATCCTTTCTGTTTGAAGTTAGACGTTTTGAGCTTTGGTGTTCTTAAAATAGGAGCACTAGGAAAGACTATCTTCCTAACCAGTGGGACATAGTCACAAGGAAATTATCTTCTCCCATACCTCTGGGGAAGTGGGAGGATGGGAAGGAAAAGAGAGGATGGAGACACCCTGGTTCAAAAGGAACATTAGTCAAGAAAGGGACAGAGCTTTTGTCGCTGCACCACGCGTGTCAGTCGCGGCACCTATGCTGCAGCCACACGAACAAGCCCTCTCTCCCTAGTACAGGCGACCCTCTTCCACCATGTCCCTGCCCTATCCAACCTGCTCCCCTCCTCCTGCCCCTGTGCTGGTCACTGCAGGATTCCCTGATCCATTTACACTGATGCCCCAAGTTTAAGTTTACCCCGTAGTACTTCCTTGGTCTTTTTGAGAAAATCAAAGTACTGCTTTGAAATCAGACCAACCTGGAATCAAATCCTGATGTCTTCCGGGGAAATTATTCAAACCCTCTAGGTGTCAGTTTACTCATCTGTAAGATAAGAATAATAACACCTACCTTATATACGTTGTGAGGATTAAATACATGCACATACATGCACACGCCTAGTCCTGTATATGACACGCAGTAGGTGCTCAATGTCAGCTCCCTAGGCTAAGGAGTTACCTTTCCATTTGACTAGAAGCTTCTGGGGAACAAGAACCATTTCCTTCACTGTTTTCTCATCTCTCACATCACCCAGTTTTAGAGCTGTTTTAATCAGTACTGATCAAATGAGGATTTAACCCATATTAAATACATGTTTCCCTTCATTCTTACTTTTCACCAAACAGATTTCTCTTAGCCTCCTGCATTTATATCTTACGGTTGTCCTTTACCAAAGATTCTTGCCTTTGGGCCACCAAATACTCAAATTCTTTAAAAGAAAATCACATCAGTAAAACATTCATTCAAAACGAGCCATTTATTTTCCATACTAAGGCATAGCTCAACAGAGGCCAAGAGCTCAGCTGGGTCCTGCTGCAGAGCTGAAATCTCCATCCCTGCTGTACGCTGCCCAGTTGAGCTGGTATGCTCCTTTGCTCCAAGCAAAATGGCGGCACAGACAAAGCCTCCCAAGACCGTTCACCCCTTTCACTGCCTGCCCAGTTCCCAGGTGGGCCATACCGATTCCCATAGCTTTTCCAGACTGATTTCCCCCGTCAGCTGTTCCCCATCCCCAAGCAGCACAGTAACTCCAGCTGCTTCTTTCTCCCCCTCCCTCTTGATGATTTACATTCTATAGGACCCAAATCCCAACTAACTATGTCTTGTGAAGCACTGAAAAATCATTTCTATCTAGTGAAACTTCAGCTGAGCTCGCACTGAACTGTTACGAACTCCAACTTTGAGGGATCCCTATGCTGCCCTGCTGCCCACTCTGTTACTCTGGGCAACGTTACACTTTCAGTTTCTCTTTGTAATCTGCAGGGGCAACTCTTTCCCTCCAGAGGTGAGGCCCTTCCTGGGTCAGCCCCAGCAGAAGGGTTGGCTGAGCTGTCCCAGTCAGCAGGCTCTTCTGTCCAGGTTTGCTCTGGCCAACTCCATCCCACAGCATCATCACCAGGACCAAGGTGGCCCAGAGTCGGTGACGAGTGGCAGCCAGAGCACCTTGATCCCTGGGCTCCATGTGGGTGGAAGAACATGGGAGATAAAATACTGGTGGGGAAGGAGGTTTGTGCGGAAGGAGGATGTTTACGAATATTACCCTCAGGTTCCACGTATGTGCCACGGTGGTTCCAGAATTCTGTATAGCAAGGGCCTTCGGGTGGCAATCCTATTGGGAGTAGGAGGAAATTACATTCCTATAGCTCTTTACTTACAACATCACAACAAAGAATGAGAGTATGACAGAATTTTGGGGGGCTAAGACACCCTAAGTACCCCCCTTGTTGCCACCACTGGGTACCGGGCCGTATGTCACAAGGATTCTCCTTGGAGAGACGGCACATGGGGCTTTGTGGGGCTCAGGTGCAGTAGTATTTCGGTGGCAAAATCACTAAAATCCTGACTTTGGGATCTGTTGAGGCCACAAGACTCCCTGGTTGATAGGTAGAGAGATTTCTTTTGGGTTTCTACCAAATGAACACAGAGATGTGAGCTGAGGGATTATATGAGGGAAGGAGGGAGGCATGGGCGTCTCCATCTTCTCTAAAGTCTGCTCCTTGTCTGGCTCTCCTAGCAGGACCAGCCAACCATGGAGAGGTGAAACCACACACAAGCGCCTCTGAGTTCATCCTCCTAGGGCTCTCAAGCCAGCTCGAGAGGCAGGAGCTGATCTTCGGGCTCTTCCTTGTCATGTACCTGGTCGGGGCCGCAGGGAACTTGCTCATCATCCTGGCCATTGGCTCAGACTCCCACCTCCACACGCCCAAGGACTTCTTCCTCAGCGACCTCTCCCTGGTAGTTTTCTGCTTCATCTCCGCCACAGTCCCCAAGATGCTGGTGAACATCCAGACACAGACTCAGTCCATTTCCTATGGCTGCTGCCTAGCCCAGATCTACTTCTGCATTTTGCTTGTCAACATGGACAGCTTCCACCTGATGGCCATGGCTTATGACCTCTACACAGCGACCTGCCAGCCCTTGCACTACTCCACGGTGAGTATGCCAGTCTGTGCCCTGATGCTGGGGAGCTCCTGGCCCCTCGCCAACTTCCACTCCCTGCTACACACCCTCCTCATGGCCCGGCTGGAGTTCTGTGCCAGCAACGTCATCCCTTACTCCTTCTGTGACCTTGCTCCCCTGATCCAGCTCTCCTGCCCCAACACCCAACTCACCCAACTCATGATTCTGCTGGAAGGGGGACCTGGCGGTCCTCATCCCCTTCCTTGGCATTCTCGTCTCCTACATCCACATTGTGTCTGCTGTGCTACAGGTGCCATCTGCCCAGGGCAAACCAAAGGCCTTTTCCAACTGTGGCTCCCACCTTGCTGTGGTCATTCTCTTCTATGGGACCATCACAGGGGTCTACCTGAGTCCCTCATCCTCCCACGCAGCTGACAAGGATTCTCTGGCTTCAGTAATGTAGATGGTGGTCACCCCCATGCTGAATCCCTTTATCTACTGCCTGAGGAACAAGGACATGAAGGGAGCTCTAAGGAAACTGGTCAACCTGAAGGCTTTATCCCATGGGCTGTGACAGCAGAGCTCTCCTTCAGGGCCTCTGTGCTAGAGGAGGATGAACCCCAGGGACAGGCTCCACACAGAGAGGGTGGGAGGAGCACAGACCTCATTGTCCTGGGTTGTCACCATGGCCAGGGAAGCCTCTCATTGCTCCATAAGTAATCTGCAAGTCCCAAACTTCTTGGCCCCTGCACTGACTGCCCAGACTACCAAAGGGGAATAAACTCTCCCGTAAAGACAGGACCACATAAACAGGTATAAACTAGCTCTATCTGCAGACCTTCTGGAGGGGGTTCATGTGAAGGGTGAGCTCATAGGAATCTGTGACCTATGCTGACAGCCTGTGCCAAAGAGATGCCCTCTGAGTGCCCCCATGCACCCCACAGAGCCTCAGACCCTTAACCCTCAAGCATCCCAGTTTCCAAACTCCTCCAGTTCCTCCACCACCATCCCACACTCTGGGTTGAACCTAGCTTTGGAGACAGGCTTCACGGTCCTCCTCAAAGCTGTCCCACTCTCGGCCTTGGGCCCTGCCGGGTGGAGCTCCACAGCTCTACCTACTTGTATCAGGAATGCCTATAATGACTGTCGCAGCTGACCACCTACGCAGGCCCCATACTGTCCCACTTATGTGCTTTTCTTAGGAAAGAGAGGTCTGCTGGCCACACGGTAAAGAGAGAAGAGAGACTAGACTTAGAGCTGGTTCTCTGGGTGTGAAGCACATAAAAGGCATGGGTCACAATAATCCTTATGAAGGTGCTTCTCTACAGGAAGGACCTGGAGAAGGAGACAAAGGGGAAAGGCCTCATGTAACAAGTTTATGGCTGAAGAAGTTGTATGTGGCCTCCTGAGCAACAGGATGATATCCTAGGCTGCAAGGGGTATGGCAGAGCTGGGAGAGCATTACCCAGAAAGTCAGCACAACGGGCATCCAGTCCTGGCCCGTCCGATTACCAGCCATTTGACTCCAGTCCCTCTGAAATTGACCATTCTACCAAACACACCGTGCATTTTCGTCCCTCTCATGCTATTCCAGCCATCCCATTTTGCTCATTTCTATCAAAACTCTCGCTGTCCTTCAAGCTCGCATAAAATACCACGCCCTTCGTGAAGCCACCTCGAGTCTCCCCAGTCAAAAGGAAGTATTTTTTTCTCCTCTGAACTCCATATAATTTGAATTCTATTATAATTTGAATTCTATGATAGCCCCTTTCATGCTCTGCTTTGCATTCTTCCGCTTTGCAGAGTTCACCTCAACTCTACCCCAAACAGGATTGTTGGAGTCGAGTTTAAAGATTTTTTTAATTTTAATGTTTTGATTTAAATTGACAGCAGACATGGAAAAAGAACACTTATGGCCTTTCTCCCCATGATTTTGCCTTAACCAATACTTTTATATTTCCCCAACACCAGACAAGGAAAAAGAGTTTACCAAGCTGGTTGATCAGAGCCCAAGGAGTTCTCTGGTCCATATTTTATGAAGGGCAGTGTGCCCTAAAGGGTCATCATCCAGGCATGAAGCTCCCTTCCTTCCAGTCTGGCCCCCGACTGCTCATCTTCTATCCGTATGTCTGGTTGGAGTCTCCACTTAGGTCCAGTCACTTCTCTCGCTCTCTGTCTCTCTCTCTCCCCACCATGCCTGAGCACACAGGTCCTCAATTAAGATCTGGGGCTGAGAGTGGGAAGCAAGGGAGGCCAAAGCTACTTTTCAGCCCACCTTTTACCAGTGAGCCCATGATGGAGGTTACTGGGTGTAACTCAGATACTAACAGAGTTGTACTTTGGCTCAAAGTTTGCTATTGTTCCTTGAACATATTGTTTCCTTGGGATCCCTCAGGAGTTGGGACTATTGGATTTCAGCTCTCCTGGGTCTCTAATCATAAAACTACAATAATAGCCATAAAATCTCACCTCAAACCCATGAAAATGATGTGAAGAAAAGCTGATGTCAGCATGGAGAAGAGGTCTTCGTATGCATTTACTATAATGGTGAATAATACAATGGTTTGGCCTCAGGTAAAAAAAAAAAAAAGAACAAGAAAAAGATTTTTAAAAAAAAGTTGGGGGGGAGGCAGTGACAAATAAATTTGAAAGACCTTCAACTGACCTTGCTCATCCATGGGTTGTGAGGACACTGCCTGCTCTGATGCCTACTTTTCCAAGGAAGGGCGTAGGATAAGATAACCCTTCTCTTACAGCAAACACCATTTCAGCCTGGTTCAAGTCCTGGTCTGGAGGCTGTAAATAAGAAGGAATGACCTGCACACAGGTCAATTATAAAAAGTTCAGAAGCTCAGCCACTCTTATAGACTTGATAACATAAACCCAATCGTGTGAAGATACCAAAATGTTAACTTCTATTTAAAAATAAAATGTTCAGGAAGAAAGGGTAGGGGACTTCCCTAGTGGTCCAGCAGTTAAGACTCCAGCTCTCAATGCAGGGGGCCCGGGTACGATCCCTGGTAGGGGAACTGAGATCCCACAGACCACAACTAAGCCCGCGTGCCGCAATGAAGAGCCCACGCGCCACAGAGAAGACCCAGTGCGGCCAAAATAAATAATAAATTAAAATAAATTTTTTTAAAAAAGAAGGGGAAAAAATAGTTCCATTATCTACGTTTTTAAAATAGTTTGTTTTTGTTTTTGCGGCACGCTGGCCTCTCACTGCTGTGGCCTCTCCCATTGCGGAGCACAGGCTCCAGATGCACAGGCTCAGCGGCCACGGCTCACGGGCCCAGCTGCTCCGCGGCATGTGGGATCCTCCCGGACCGGGGCACAAACCCATGTCCCCTGCATCAGCAGGCGGACTCTCAACCACTGCGCCACCAGGGAAGCCCCCCCAGTTACATTTTAAACAAGTTCCCCAGGTGATTTTGATGTAAGTGGTCTTCAGATGACATTGAGAATCTCTGTTGAAAAGCATTGTTAAAAGATAAACTGAGGCATAGTAAAAATTTTAAGAGTTTATCTGAGCAAAAATCATTCCAGCCACAGGATGTAGGGGCAAGACATTCACAGAGAAGACAAGAAGGCAAAGGGAGGAAATTATTTGAGTGGCTATAGCTTAGGCTGCCTTATACAGGAAAGTCAAGTCGGCTGTTTGTGATTGGTTGTCCTTAGGTTTCGATTTTTTTTAACCTTGAGGCATTTACAGGCTGAGGTTTTGGTTTGCTTATATAGGCTGCCAAGGCTTTAGAATCACCTCTAATGGTCTCCTTGTTTAATTAATTTAACAGCATGACCAGTGATTTGAGCTACCATCTTTATTATAAGCTAAATTTCCATACAGAGCTGGGTCTGTTTCTGAACGCTGTATTCCACTCCATCCCTCCATGTGTGCTACCACCACGCTGTTTAAACTCTTGGTTTTTCCACCTCTTATTTTCCATTCTTTCCATTAGCACCTTAGAATGCTTAGAACTGAAGACTGGGAAAACCTAGTGGGAACACTGGTTCTCAACGATAAACTGCTTATCGTTCACTCTGTTCTTCCAGTTCACAGCACATGCTGAGCCCTTCCACAGGAGTCAGCAAAATGTCTAGATGATAGAGACCGGATTTTCTCAAATCCTTCACAGACGTGGAGATGGTGTAAGACGCAAACAGCTTCTGCAGGTGGGACTCAAGAAGGCAAATACAGACTTCTACCACCACTTTTTCCCAGTCTCTCTAAAAGCTAATATACCACCTTCTCAATAAAACACATTTTTTAACTAGGAAGGGAAAACATGAAGCAAGCTCTTACGTCTGCCCTATTTCCTGGTCTCTGGCCACTTAGACGGTGGTGCACGTGGCAGCGATGGCAGACCTTTTACTGGAACCTCTCTGCTCTTCCAAACTGCTTCTCTTAAGTCCCTCTGCTTCTCAGGGCCCAACACCTGCATCACCCACCCCCTCTTCCATCCTCACTCTCCCAGCAGTTTAAATTCCCAGAGACAAACACAAGGAAGACAATTGCCTACCTTCCCCACTTTATAACAAATGTTTCCTGAAATTTTTTATTGAAACAGGTCAGTCCTGGGAATGGGCTGCATAAGACCAGTCTCTAGAAATATGCCCTTCACTGAAGATAATAAAGAAAAATAAGGCAAGATAGGAATATGAAATTGTAAGAAGCCCAAGTGAATTTCTTTGACTTGTAGAATTTCTAAGTGAATTCAACATAACTGCAATTGGCAGGACAGCAGCTACAGATGACTGTCAGATCGGGGGCCTCTGGGGGGGGCAAATTGCTGCAGGGTTCTTCCCTCCTAAGGCACCCACAAGAGAGCCTTCTAGCTACGAAAAAGGAAGAAATCCAGGTCTTTCATCCATTCAAGTATTTATGACTACTGTGGGCCTTAGGAGACCTTATCATGGAGGCAAAAAAGTTGGAACTGGCTGCACTGTGCTTCACTGGCTCTCACTGCGCATGCGTTCACTGAGGATGGTGAACCTAGCCCCAGGCAAAAGCTCACTGCTGTGTGGAGTAGTGCAGCAGGTGCTTGCCTGAAAGGAACCCAAAGCAACCACCCAGGCTGCCTGTGATAGACCCCAGCACCCCATCCTGAGATTCCACTCCCAAAGCTCTTGGCTCTGCTTGGCAACACTACATTTAACCCACGTGATCTCTAGTAACTCCTTTGTTTTCCAGAAATTAGGCCAGGGCTCTTTAAGGTTAGCAGGAAATAGCTACAGGCCTTGGAAGCCCAGTCCTTTCAATAGCTAAACCATCTAAGTCTTTTCAGCTCTTACCCTGAACCCCAAGGGCAGGGGTTCTCGGCCAGCGTCAGTTTTGCCCCCAGGGGACATTTAGCTGGGCCTGGAAACATCTTTAGTTGTCATCAAGTAGATTGAGGCCAAGGATCCTGCTAAACAGCCTACCATGCACAAAAAAGCCAGGGCAGCCTCCAAGACAAAGAACTTCCTGACACAAAGGGAGAATAGTGGGGAGGCTGAGAAACTTGGGCAGAGTTTAAAAGAACAAGTAGACTCTAGAGAAATGTGTTCTGCCAGTTCCTTTCCCTGTCTCAGAAGGAGACTTGAAACCAGCTTATTTTTTAAGAAACAAAAGTTCTCATACTTTTCCCTAGGCTGGGATAAAACAGGTACGGAAAGTATTTTTAGCACACTTAATCAGCCTGCAGACAACATTCACCCTGGCATACACTTTGAGAAGCAATTTTTTAATGCGTTAGCTCCCCAGGACACACCTTGGGCAGAAAGTTACCTGGTTCTGTTAACACCCAGGGGATAAAATGGGGTTTCTCTTACAAAGGTCACACCCCTTGGGAGTGGCACCTTTCCTGTCACAGCAGCATGGCCCACGACGCGCAGCCAGGCCCTGAAGTGCACATTAGCCCTGTGTGAGGGAACTGCAGACACCCAATCATACACAGTGAAGGCTAAATATAAAGTGACCAAATATCCCTGTTGGTCCTGGAGTCCCATTTACACCACTGTCCTGACATAATT